CGATAGTCGACATCTTTCGCAGAACTGAACTAGCATTTCTCCTCGATCATTTCGTCCTGGTATTCCGTAAGGTCCCACAAAATTTTCTTCAGATGCACCTCGACCCAGGTGTGCATTGTAATCACCAGCGCACACGACATATGTTCCTCTCGGGGAGCTGTTTATTGCATTATCGAGAGCGTCATAGAATTCTTCCACCGCGTTGTTATCATAGGCCCCTGTTGGTGCGTATACTGACAGTATCTTCATTGTTTTTCCTCCGCCCAATTCGACTACAAGCATCGCAATCCGTTCGGAAAAGTTTTTGTAGTCGCTGATCATCTTTGTTAAATGTGGTGCTATGATGAATCCAACTCCATCAACTGGTCTATCGCGGCATCATTGACAAGACCTCTGGTGTTGATGGTAGCAATGTTCAAAAAACGGTTTGGCAGATCGCTTGCCGTGAGATTTCTCCCCCTCTGCCGTTGTCCTCTCTGCCATGAAGGACGGTGGCCGCACGGGACTGAGGGTACTCCTTTTAGAACTTGACTCATAGATGCTGGTGGCCTGGACATCCCCCACCGCCTAGCCAAAACTGGCGGTAATCCACTGCCGGAAGTGGAGCTGTCCAAGGGGGCCCGTTTTTAGCCTCACTCGACACGTCGTTGCTCCGGCGACAACGAGTGATCTTTCCATCGAGTGAGTTTACACCATCCCACCACTTTGAGGTAACGGGGCTAGGGATGGACATACATACATACATACATACATACATACATACATACATACATACATACATACATACATACATACATACATACATACATACATACATACATACATACATACATACATACATACATACATACATACATACATACATACATACATACATACATACATACATACATACATACATACATACATACATACATACATACATACATACATACATACATACATACATACATACATACATACATACATACATACATACATACATACATACATACATACATACATACATACATACATACATACATACATACATACATACATACATACATACATACATACATACATACATACATACATACATACATACATACATACATACATACATACATACATACATACATACATACATACATACATACATACATACATACATACATACATACATACATACATACATACATACATACATACATACATACATACATACATACATACATACATACATACATACATACATACATACATACATACATACATACATACATACATACATACATACATACATACATACATACATACATACATACATACATACATACATACATACATACATACATACATACATACATACATACATACATACATACATACATACATACATACATACATACATACATACATACATACATACATACATACATACATACATACATACATACATACATACATACATACATAATACATATACATACATTACATGCACAATATCGAAAAATGCCACGAGGTCCACATTCGTTAGAAGCCGAGTAGGTACAGGTTCGCGCCCTGTACACAGCATACTTAAGCAATCGTCGAAATGCTGAACAACTGCAGCGTTCATCAAGGTCTATCGACCGATTTCTACATGACCAGGATACCGTAGGAGAAAAAAGAGTTTTGGGAGGAGCGAAGAAGCTAACTCCACAGCAGGAACGTGCAATCAGGCACTTCGTTCCTAAGTCGACTATTAGCATCAAATGAGTTTGAGCCGCCTTTTCGAGTTCATTGTCCAGAATGACGATAAGAATGGCAACAACAACATAGTTAGGTGTCGTCTCCGCCCAGCTTTTCCACTTACCGACGCCTACAAGGAGGCCCGGCCCAGTTTGCCAGAAAGAACATGGCAACAAATTGATCGAAGATACGCGTCCTCCTCATAAAGCTCTCTGAGTTGAAATTTCCTGTTCTAGGTCATATTTTCTGAAGAGAAATAGTCCAACTTGAATAACTCGGATGGAAATGCTTTCTACCTGGGTAATCTCGGCAAGGAAATGAAGTGCCAGTGATTTCGGTGGAGATAGCGTGAGGAATCCGTCGGAACTGGAAGCTTGAGATCGCCTTCACCTCCACTCATGTGGACTCGTCGGACTACCAGGACGTGCTACGTCGTCATCTACTACCTTTTCTGGCACGTCCCGAAGAAGGAGAATTCGTTTTCCAACAAGACAACGTGGCGACCCACGCGAGCAGGTCCACAAAATCATGGTTAGAGGAGCGAAATATAGTCGCCATGGACTATCCTGATAATTATTCATAGAGAGCATCTGGGGCATCTTGTCGGAGATGTTTACCACCAGGGAACAACTTCTGATAGAGTGAGAGATCTCAAGATGGCAATTGGTCAGGCATGGGATTGTTTGGATGTGCAATTGCTGTATGGATTAGTTGAATCAATGCCAAATCAAATTTTTGAAATCACTTTTAAACATGGAGGAAACAATTAATTATCAAGAAGTTGTTATATGTTTGTTTTCATAACAAATGTATTAGATTTCCGAGGTGCGTCTATACTTTTGATACAGCCAAAATAATGTTCACCTATTTAAAAAATGCCGAATTCTTTCCATTTCACGTGGAAGCTGGTAAACATAGGTTTTCGCGCATGCTGATTCAGATGGTGATAAGCCTGTTTGCCAAGAACTTCTGTGGAGTCGGCTATGGTACTTTTAGGGGTGCGTCTATACTTATGATACGCACTGTACATACATACATACATACATACATACATACATACATACATACATACATACACTATGACGGTTAGAGTTTATGGGTTTATGTGACAAACATCTATTACCTACGGCTACTTACGGATGGAATTCAGATCACCTGGAGGTATAGGTTGGCTTCCTCTTGATTTAATTTATTCTTCCACTGTTCGCTTTGACCAGATCTTGCTAAGTTCGCGACAAACAGGTATTTTCCTCTCGCGCGCACGGATCGAGGCATGCTCCTAGCTATTCATCTTCATTGGGCTTTTCTAGGTATAAGTTTTTTTTTAGTAAGGTATAAGTTTATACGTCAGCAGAAGACATACGTGAGAAAGCACAACATTAATAGTGAAAATTTTCATTGGAGAAAGCAGAGAAATTTGATTTTTTCTGGCTATCAAAAAACCAAGAAGCTGGGTCCATTTTTAAAGCCTCCAAATTTCTTACGTTAATGTCGAGAAGCTTCCAAATTTCGTTGTGCTTGTATTGCTCATAAATAACACCACAACGAAATGTAATATTCTGATGGGAAGTAAGAAAGAGCTTGTTTCGACGGAAAAATTTGGATTGAAAGGGGTGAATTGAACTTTTGTATCAAAAACACATACATACATACATACATACATACATACATACATACATACATACATACATACATACATACATACATACATACATACATACATACATACATACATACATACATATCCATACTCCGCCCACTGTGACGCACGCTCCGCCCACTTTTACGTTTTATAGAATTTTTTATTACCACATACATCCATTTCCCTCCGACATCAACTTTTGTATCAAAACACATACATACATACATACATACATACATACATACATACATACATATACATACATACATACATACATACATACATACATACATACATACATACATACATACATACATACATACATACATACATACATACATACATACATACATACATACATACATACATACATACATACATACATACATACATACATACATACATACATACATACATACATACATACATACATACATACATATACATACATAATACATACATACATACATACATACATACATACATACATACATACATACATACATACATACATACATACATACATACATACATACATACATACATACATACATACATACATACATACATACATACATACATACATACATACATACACATACATACATACATACATACATACATACATACATACATACATACATACATACATACATACATACATACATACATACATACATACATACATACATACATACATACATACATACATACATACATACATACATACATACATACATACATACATACATACATACATACATACATACATACATACATATATCACAACGATGGGTGGATAGTTCATTCCGAAACGGGACGCGGACGAATCCTGCCGATATTCTTACTACCGTGAACGCGAAAAGTGTGTTACCTCTAGTGAAAAAGCCCGAATCTCACGGAGTTCTGCTTGCAGCACTGAGCTACATATCCTGGTGGTCAAAGATGAACGGCAGTCATGAAGCTGTGAAGCTGTTGCACTTCTTCAACTAGAGTATAATTGTGAGCAATGCCTAATCCAATTTCTTAAGGAACTCCAAACGCATACTTAATTATCAGCAGGTCAAAAGTCTTCAATGGCCACACATCCTAGATAACCAATAATCGTGATTACACATAAACCTCATTCAGATTTGTATTCACATTCGTAGCTGCTATAACTTGCGTGGATCCGACAACTCCGCTATTTAGACACTTCGCCAAGAATCAGAAGTGTCAGTACTTGATTGTAAAGGAGCGATCTGGGAATGTTACTGGGGGTTGTGGATTGGATTCTCTACAGACAGTGCATGTGGAAGCGAAACATAGTCGCATGTAAAGCAGACAATTCTCGTTCGACTGGTCCACTGCTTTGCATGAAAACATTGAACCACAACAGAAGATTTTTCGTTCATATAAAAGCGACACTGCCTATGGGACAACTTCATATGTATATCAGTCGATAAATGTGCGTTTGTGTAGTGTACGTGCATCAGAATATCGCACACCTGTACAAATTGTTTTAGGATAACAACGCACATTCATATGCGACAGTTTTTAGATGACACTAGCAATGAATCACTGTCGTCATTGATTTGCACTCTTCTTATTTCTACAACCCCTTCGTGGTTTAGATAGCTGTTGGCTTCCATAAAAAACCAATCTAATGAATATAGAAGGTTCAACGAAAGGGGAATACTCAAAAAGTGTAGTAGCAGATTTGGGTGAGCATCCGTTCGACAGTTAGATTGCTCGAGTCCTTGAAAGACACATTATTGCAAAAGAATATTAAAGCTGTTACGATGGCTCCTCCATTAAACGCGGGGGAGACGCCGAACAAAGCGGACAAAGCCAAGTTTGCTGCCAAGCCAAACGTGAAGTCCACTGCTCTCGAGACCAAGACAAACACCAGGAACGCTGTAGCGGTGAAAAGTGAGTTCCACGAATCTTTAAGTGATGCTTATCAATAGGATTTAAAATCGTTGAGGGAAAATAAAGATAGCTAGAAGACGAGCTCCGCAGCCCATTGTTGTGTTTTGTGTATCTTTAGTATTTACACTCAAATCATGTGATTTTATTCATTCCATACACTACATTAGACAATAATAGTTAGACAGTATTAGACATTATCAAAGAGAGTAGATCAAAACGCTATGCACTTCCGCATTAAAATGATTTATGATGAAAGAAGCCTTATTTCTATGTTTAGGAGCGGTACCACCTTCCAAGACATCAAAAGCATGAACCGTATCGTGATGATATTGCTAGTCTGGATATGTTGCAGCTACGCCACCTTCCAACATCATTTGTTGTTTTTTCCGGATAAACGTACAGTCAACGTTGTTTTTTTTTCTTGTTTTCTTGTTCACATAGAGGGAGGAGTACATTATATACTGATAAATAACAAGTGTTACTATGACGGTTAGAGTTTGTGGATTTATGTGACAAACATCTATTACCTACGGTTGCTTACGGATGGAATTCAGATCACCTGGAGGTATAGGTTGGCTTCCTCTTGATTTAATTTATTCTTCCACTGTTCGCTTTGACCAGATCTTGCTAAGTTCG